GCCGCCGCCGCCGCCTCCCGCTCCGGCCCCGCCGCCTCCTCCTCCTCCGGCAGCGCCGCCGCCGCCGCCGCTACTTCCACCTCCACCGCAACCGCCGCCCCCACTGTTACCACCACCTCCCTGACTCGCCGCCATGTTCCTGGGAGAGAGAATAGCCCCCGACAATACTCTCCGCCGGTGCCGCGAGTGGAGGGGTTCTTCGGGCGCATGCGCAGACTGGGGGCGGGTGGAGGGGCGAGGTAGTGGGTGGGAAGGAACCAGTGGGCGGGCTGCGAGGAGGTGTTGAATTGGGAAGAGACGTTGTTCGAAAGGGTACAACATTTCCTTTAAAAAAAAAAAAAAAGTGACCAGACGGAGGATGCGAAGTCCCGGTTCCACTACTTTGGGTACCAAAATCTTGCGAAGCGACGCCAAGCTGACGGTAGGTCGTCTGGGCGATTGTTCCCAAATCTCTTCTTGTTTCGCCGTTTTCGTTCTGCAAAGCAAAAACAAATATATGGAAGGAATTCGTTTCAGAATATATAAAAACAGCTTTTCGAAGAACTGTGAGGCAGCTTGCTGAGAAGCTTATTGCAAATGCCTCAGGAACAGAGAGAAACTCTGGGGAGTCACTTGGGAAGGGAAATTAGTGCGGTATCAAGTTTTAGGCGTACATGAATTTTGCTGTCGTTTAGCATTCCAAAGTAGGAAAAGACTAGATGTTTTCAAGGAAGCCTCTCCTTAGACTGTGTCATGAGTTTCAGCCAAACTGCTGGCTTCCAAAACTTGGAAGAGTCCTCCACATTCTGTTCTATCACTCTTTGAACTGTGCCAAGAGCTCCAGAATATATCTCCAGTTTCTTTTCATCATGTCAGTATTGGATGATGAAAAACGCTTTGATCGTCAGTCTTAAAGGTTACTTGTGAAATAAAGGTTTTGATTTAAATTAAATGCTGAAGATTTAATGTTGAGTGTGTGAAATCAGTCTTGGATTTTAGTTCAGTTGTTCATACCTGAAAACATATGTGATGTAGAGGACAAAGAGATGGAAGTTCACAGTCCTTTATCAGGCATTCAAGGCCTCCAAAATCCAACCCCAAGCTACTTAGTCGGGTTTATCAGCCAGTTCTTTAGACTACCACTCTTCTGCCCGTCTCAGAGCTCCACTCTTAGTCACACTCGTTCAAGTCTTTCATTAATATTCAGTAAGTTACTTAAAAATATCAGAAGGGCTGGGTGTATTCATTTATTATAAATTTCAATATCCTATCTATGTATCTTTTCAACATCTTTTTGAACGTGAGCAATGTGTCAACAGTCTAATTTTCTTAAGGAAATCACTGGCACACAAAAATTTATTTGCCATAAACTATACTTTGTGAAAGAACACTGGAAAAAATTGCAACTTGTCTAAATTGCTTTGTGGCCATATTGGTTAATTAAAATGATTATGCTGTGAGAAATTCCATTCACCATATTCATGAGCCACAGAAGAGCAGAAGTGAGAATCATTTTATACAACGAGTTAGCAAGTGAAAATAAATTACTAAAACCTACTGGTGTGAGGAGGGAATGTACCTTATAGCTCACCTCTTTTATATCTCATACAAAATCAAGTACTCATTGAGAACTTCTTAAGAGGAGAAAAAGAGAAATTTAATTTATTAGGGAAAATATGTGAAAAGGAAATATTTTAATAATGAGCCAGGGGCTGAAGGTGTAGCTCAGTAGTAGAGTACTTGCCTAGTATGAGTGATGTTATGGGTTCAATCTTCAGTACTGCGAATATAAGAAAGATAATAACTAGCCAGTGAGAAGACATCCTGAGAGTCAGCATACTTGTTAAGTGAAGAAAGGCCATGTGTAAGCAAGAAATAAAATAATCTTTGAAAGAATTGAAAGCCAGTCTAAGGAAGAAAAATGGAAAGCCTACAAAGTAATCTAGATATGCATGAAAATCAGGCACAATAACACTTTGTAGAACTCTTTAGCAAAGATGCCAAGGTCAAAAGAACTAAAAGATTTAGAAGAAAGGGCATGAAGTTTAGAAAGTTGTTGCAGCCCTGTAGCTTTCTCTGTGATATTTGGAAAAATGACTTAAAATTTCTGTACTTCAATGTCCATAGGTAACACTGGAAAATAACAGTAATACTCAATAATAATAATGTTTAAATAGTACTTACTATTTGCCAGGAACTCTTCTAATTATATTAAGTATATTATATCACTTGATCTTCTTAATATTCCTATAATATAGGTACTATTATTCTTATATTTTATAGATGAGGGAAAATAGTACATACCTCATATAAGATTGTTGTAAGTATAAATAAGGTCACCTATCTAAAGTGATATGCACAATATTTGGCATTCATTCATTTCATAAGCATTTATTGAGCAATTACGCTGTGTAAGAAAGTGTTCTCCATGTAACTAGTATGATATAACATTAGGTACTTAATAAATGTTAATCTCTTTTCTCTCAAAAAATAAAATAAAACATAAAATGTCAGAAGTGAATTCCTTGATAATTGTGAGTAAAGAGCTATCTGACATATTACATAAATCCTTTTCTTCTGTCTGTATGAGAGGATATTTTATGGTGATTACCCCTTTAATATTATCCCTGAAATGATACATTGCTGATTGGTTAAATTAGGGCCAATATTTGGAATTATTCAAGCCAAATATACATAATTAATGTTGATAAATCATCAAGACTAGGTGACATATATCTGTCATGGTTGATACACTGTGTCAACTTGAGGAGTCTAGAGGCTTGGCTAAGTGACTCAGCAGTTCTGCATCTTGGGGTGAAAAGAACATGCCCTTATTACTCTGGTATGCTGTTCATTGTGTCAATTTGAGTTTAAAAGGTTAATTATGTGACTCACCAGGGAGCCAGGGTCCTTACTTTGTATTTATCCTGAGCCTGTGCAAGAGGAAGGCATGGAGATGGTGTGCACACAGAGGACCACCCCTCTCAGGGAGGGAAGGCCACACACAATAAAAGGGAAATGAAGAGGGACTGATTGCTGATTCGTCAGAATAGCCCCAGTCTTCACCTTCAGGTTGGTCATCTCCTGGCTTCCGGTACAGACTGTTCAGCTTCCGCGTGGGACTCTCCAGCCTTCTGGTGTAGACTCTCCAGCCTTCCTTGTAGATTCTTCAGCGTTCCCTCCCCGTTGCAGACCCATCAGTCTCCTGATACGAACTTGCACAAACACTGCAGTAAGCGCCAGGCCTTGGACTGGGTTCTCTCATCTCCAGCATGCAAACACCCTTTGTATGCTTCCTCATTCAGCTTTGTGGCTGACCATTGTAAGCCACATTTGTAGTTTCTTGTACATTTGTATATTTTGTGTTATATCTGTTTTTCTAGTAAACCCTGACTGATATAATATCAAAAATTATAGAAGGAAAGCAATGAGACTGTAAGAAAATTTTGAACAAAATATGCATTCTGTATTAAAACACTTGCAAGTTGCAAATGTAATTTCTGTTCAAAAGAACTCAAAGAGACTTCAGAAATTCCAGGTCAATTTAAAGTCAATTTATTCCAAACAACCTGGTAGTTCCCCAACAGTTATAAATAATATAGAGTAGAAAAGTCACAGTTGAATGTCCAAAGCTACAAATTCTTCCGTTAAAGAGTAAGATCAGAGGGCGAGTATGAGATGTTCTTTCCAATCTATGACTAAAGCAAACATAAGATGTATTTTAATATAGGATCTAGGACAAGTCAAGACATGTATCAGGTCAAACACAAGGGCACACACTTGTAATTCCACTATTCAGGAGGCTGAGGCAGGAGGATCAGACCAAGGCCAGCCTAAGCAATTTGGAAAGAACTCTCCTCAAAATAAAATTTTAAAAGGGCTAAGGCTATAGTTCAGTAATAGAGTGCCTCTAAGTTGGATTTCCTAGTACCACAAAAAAAGCATTAGAAACCCAAAGCACATATTAATTTATCCCATTGGTTATCCCAACTACTTTGCAGCCACAACTGGAATAAGATATATAGTTCTTTTCACTCTGATCTCAACACCAGGCCTGAACTAGGGAAGGCTCTGAGAAGTGCATATAAAATGATTAGAAAAGTGGAGACCTTCTTCTCACTGGTAACTTGTTCTTCTGTCTCTCCTAAAAATTCCTGTTCCTAAAAAGTGACCAAGAAGCTATAGAATATGCTCAAGGTGTCACTTAAAGACAGCAAAGAAAAATTCAACATAGCATGATGAAAGGTGTAACTTGAAGACATAGATTTGTTACCTCCAGTTCTAACTCAGATCTGAGCAGCCCTGGAAAGCTATATTTCAGACAAGGTAATCAAGGAAATGTGAATATGGCTATTTTGGTATCATTAAAGAGCTGTTTGTTTAGATGTGATAATGGTTTTATGGTAATTTTTGCTCTATCTGTTTTTCAGTGCTGGAAATTGAACCCAGAGCTTTACACATGCTGAACAAGCACTGTACAATTTATCTGTATTCCTAGCCCCTATTGTTATTCTTAAGAGTTTCTTTTCTTTAGGAGATATATACAGTGAAGTATTTATAAATGAAAAAAAAAAAAAAAAGCCCTGTTCTTCCGTGGGGCCTTCTTGCAGTTACAGTACATCTCTGATTCTCCTTAGGCTGTCTTTCCTTGGTTCTGATCTTTTGGAGAACCCTTTGCACTGCTTTAACCAATCCAAACAACCTCATTAATTTTGAAGTTGGTATTAACTCAAAAGGTATTTGGAAAAATGAATGATGATTACTGGAAAGAAACTATTACAAACCAATTATAAGTGTTAATATCAATAAGCAATATTATGTTCTATGTATCTCAATGAAAAATCCCTGCTCCAAAACCTACAAAAGTGAGATGCTAAATAAGTCACCCTCTCAAACGCTCATATTCCTTATCTATAAGCCAGAGATCTCATAGGATTGTAGTGAGGATGATGTGCAATAATTATATGACGTTCCTACCATACTTTGATTGTTATCATTTGTTGTAGGTTCGCTTTGCCAGAAGAACACTGAGCTGAGTAGACCAAGAGTTACCAGTGGCAGTTTTTTTTTTTTTTTGTACTATGGGTTGAGTCTGGGGTCTTCGCACTAAGCTACATCCCAGCCCACTTATTTTTTACTTTGAAACAGGGTCACATAATGTTGATATGTTGCCCGGGCTGGACTCAAAGTTTCCACCCTGTTGCATCAGCATCCCAAAGTGCTGGGATTACAGATATGTGCTCTCCATGCTCTGTCCAGCATAACAATTCTTAAACTCTTCTGTACTGTTGTATTACAGCACTAATAGGCACTTTTTCTTGTGCTATTGCTACTGTGGTTACATTCTTGTTAACTCAGCCTAAGTTTTTGCCTCAGCCAACCTTCGTACTTTTAGTACCCGTAGGTAACTTGACTCCAACTCTTGCTTATTGCCTCTCGAGCAATCCCAGATTTTGACCTCTGCATTTCTAGCATGTTAACTTGATACAACTAAATGTATTCAGATATCCATTCCAAATCCTCCCTGAAACTATGGGGATGGGGCCTGGGGTGTTGCTGGCTGGTAGAACACTTGCCTAGCGCTCATGCAGCCCTAGCTTAAATGCCTGGCTTTGTGTGCACCACATGAGTCTAAATTCTGAAGAATTTTCTTACTAGAGTAGTACTTAAAAGACACAGATAGATGAAATTTTATTTAATTTTTTTACATTTTTACAGTATTAGGGATTGAACCCAGGTCTTACAAATGGTACACGAGCACTCTACCACTAAACTATATCCCCCAACCCCAGATTTCTGAATTCTTCTAAATTTAAGTTGACTACAGGATTTGGTGCCCCACCCCTATAATCCGAGAACTCTGGGAGGCTGAGGTAGGTGGATTACAAGTTCAAGGTCAGCCTGGGCAATTCAGTGAGACCCTGTCTCAAAATAAAAATATAAAAAAGAACTGGGGTTGTAGCTCAGTGCAGAGGCCCCTAGGTTTAATCTCAAGAATACAAAGAAAGGAAGGAGGAGAGAGAGGAAGGAAGAGAAATAAAGAGGGAGGGATGAAAGGAAGGAAGATGAAATGCAAAGGAGGAAGGAAAGAAGGAAAGAAGGAAAGAAGGAAGGAAGGAAGGAAGGAAGGAAGGAAGGAAGGAAGGAAGGAAGGAAGGAAGGAAAGACAGAAATGGAAAGGAGGAAGGAAAGAAGAAAGGAAAGAAGAAAGAAAAGAAAATGAGCTGGGTATGATAGCACATCAGTGGGGAGGCTGAGGCAGAAATATCATGAATTCAAGGCCTGTTTGTACTACATAATGAAACCCTTTCTCAAAAACCAAAGAAGAAAAGAAGGGGTGAGGAGGAGGAGGAAGAAGAAGGAGGAGAAGGAGAAACATTATGTACAATAATTTAAAACCTACTATATCCAATTAGAAAATGTAACAAAGCTGGGCATAGTGGCATGTACACACCTGTAATCCCAGGACAGGAGGATTATAAATTTGAGCTTAGCCTGGGCAGTTTAGTGATTTAACAAGACCCTGTCTGAAAATAAAAAGTACAAAAAAAAAATGAGTGGGTGTTGCACAGTGCAAAAACCCTGGGATCAATCCCCAGTGGGAGAGGGGGAGGTTGGAGGGGCAGGGGGGGGGAGAGAGGAAGAGAGGATAGAGGAAAAAAGAGGAAAAAAAGGTAGGAGGTTGTGTCTTCTTTAAGATTACCTCTTTATGCATAAATGTAGACATGCCATATGCCCTTTTGGACAAGCACATCTCTATATCTTCCTCTTGAAATATGAGGCAGAACAATAAAACGAGTTCTTTTCAACCAAAATCAAATCCTTAAAAGTAAAACCTCAACAACTCTCATGCTACTTCTATCCATGTTTGTGAGAGAGAAGTGAATGGCTTTTCAACAAAGCATACTAAAGAAATTATGATATCAAGATAGACTCAAACCCTGGGAGAATATGTAACTTCCAGTAGGGCTTGGAGTTTCTTTTCTTTCTTAAGCAGAATGACAGGGAAGCATTTGGAACAAAATTTTTGTGCAAAATGAATGTTGGAACTAAATGACAAAGAATCAAATTGTGCATCTATCAACATATATTTATTTACTTTAAACATTACTTCAAGTCTTCAACACTCTCTCTAGAATTTTCCCCTAAAATATGGCTGGTTTGTGATTTATGATTTATTTCCCTCAAGGAAATAAACCTAAGACATGAGTTTCTGTGGGTCTGTGGGCCTCCATAGGCATCACCTGGTGGCAGTATATCTGAATTAAAAGGAACTTTTTGTTTTAATGGATAATACAATGTCTTTTAA